CTCTGAACCCCATGTACAGAATTTTTTAAAAACTTTGCTTAAATTTGCGTCTTATTATGCTTATCAAAATTCAATGATATAAAGAAATTTCACCGTGCTGTTTTTGAATTATAAGCCCCTAAAGCTGTAATTAAGGGTGTTTTTAGCAGGCCACACTGTTGCTATGGTAACCTATCGACACACGAAAATGAACACAACATATTCACCATTGATTGGGCAGTTTTTTGCTACCATGACGGTAGCATCAAGTGATAAAGAGTGGTTATAACTCCCTATCAAAATCTAAGTGCTGGAAACTATTTTGAGCCACCTTAGTGAGATCCTATCGAAGAACATAATTAACAGACTGACTTACCGCCCTGGTTTGGCGCCTTTTTCTGTTTGGGAACTCTGGATTGGGACTGTTGATGGACACTAGTGCAATGATTGTAAACATGTCTACCCCCAATTAAGGAATAAAACGTCATTTTTAGAGAGATAAATTACTTCTATTGAGAAGAAATTGCCCACATTGTACAGCAAGACAATACGATTAATTACTCCTCAACCCAGCTTATGCTATTAACAATACAATAAAATAATTGATAAATAGATCTAATAAAAATAGGGAATAAAATGCAAGGAATGAACCCAACTGGTACAGTGCAACATACAAGGTAAGCTGCAATACGAGCAAGATGCAATGCAAGCCTGAGTGGCAGAGAAGACTGCTGCAGGGCTCGAAATTAACTTTTTCGTTCGGGAGCCAGCTGGCTACTAACGGAAAAATTTTGGTTGCCAGATCGTAAATTTTGGTCGCCAATTTATTTTATATATAACTTACACACACAAAACAATGATTTTATACGTTACTTCGCAAGCAACAAAAGTCACAATTGAAGAGCGAAAACAATTAAAAACAACACAAGTAACACTTAGTTATAAAGCTACTGTTGTTCTCAGGTGATATGTCTCCGGTCCAAAGGTGATAGTTGACTCCATAGTCATTTTAAATGAAGCGAAGCATAAAACGTTTAAGTCCGTGGTTTTCATTGTGAGACAAACACGGGTCCTTGCGTATTTTCCCTTTGCTACTTCTTCGAAATGCTGTTCTTTATTTTCAACTTGCTTTCCTTGATACCTTTCGCTGCCGACAAACAACGCCATGCTTGAATCTTCATTTCCCGCACGCAGTCAAGATTGGTATCTGCCGCCATTTTCGTGGCAAATGAAAAGCACATGGTGTCGAAGTGTGTCTGTGATCCCAGTTTCGGAAGAAGCCGCTGAAACAATATGGTGCGCCGTGAACGCAGTATCAATGTGTCGAAATACATTCAATTTTTTCGACTATCTTGTAATATTCAGACATTATTTTACTGGGGACGGAAAGGTGAGTTCTACACTAGTTACAGTATCTGATTGATTTCCTAATATAAAGATTTAAAAACAAAAGTTGTGTCGTGGTTTTGTTTAGTTATCGGACAAAACGCGAGTCGCCAGCTGGCGATCAGTTCTGAAAATTTAGTCGCCAGTGCTCAATTTTTGGTCGCATTGGCGACCAGTGAGTCGCAATTTCGAGCCCTGCGCTGATTGCAGCTGATAAGATTGGGAACAGTGCAACCAAAACCTCTGACCACCTCAAGTGGTGAAGTGGACCCTGAAGGGCCACTAACCGCAATAATACATACAGAGAAATTCCTGGATAACCCAACTACCAAAAGATGCTTGAAATACTAACCACTCCAAAAACGCTTAAAAAGGCCAGCAAACGCTTCTTGCATGGTTAACTATGTTAAATTACATTTTTCTAGGTTCTTGGGGTAAAGTGGTCTACATTGTCCAAACTACTAACAATGAGTAAGCCTTGGGAAGTGACTTTCTCTTTCTTTCTGAATTTCATTTGAATATACCAGCAACGTAACTGGCAAATGAAAAAAAGTCCATCAAATCTTCAAGCATGTGTCACAGTTGTGGTGGCACAACTGAAGTGAAGTGTTTATCATAATTACGAATATCATAGTTTCTCATCTGTCTTCAGCACCAATATCCTCTTTTCAGGAAGGCATAACTTGGGTGAGAAGGAAATAATACAACAAAAGTACCATAAAACACAAACATTCTGCTTTTTACTTGTAATGTTACCTTACTCTGGTATAAATTCACAAATCATGTTTGAAAGGCATAGAAAAACATGTCCAGCACAAGCACGCTTTACGACATAATTTGTTAGTGGACTGTGTAGAGAAGACAGTTACTGAAGTTGAATGACCAACAAATAGTATGCACAAACTCAGAGACATTTTGAATTTGTAAGTTACAGTGGTTTGGTCGATTAAATATAATTGTTTTGAGAAAGGATTCTCCTTAACCCCCTACAAACAGACTGGTTTGAAAAAAAACCAACTAAAATCAGTCAAGTGCACTTGATGCCAGCACTCATTTTTTATGGTCAAAATTTGGGTCAGTTAAACAAAAGCAAATAGAGTGGAAAAGGGTGGCTGTTTAGTATGGATTAATCATCTATGAACTGGCTGCCTAGCTCCTCTTGCTCCTGCAGCTATTCCAGATCGCCACAGAAGTACACATACATGTATAGCTATTCTTTAACTCTGCTCATGTGTATTGAACCCAGTGAGTTGAGGGTGCTAATAGTATAAGCGATTATTCCTAAAATATCATGAATTCAACAAATTGCCAAGCTACAGATTGATCTTGAGTCTGAATTCTATGTTGTCAAGGCCTTTCTTGCATTATCTGTTGGTCTGGAAGAGACTGTATTAGGCTATTGAAATCTACAAGACACATATTATTTTATCAACTACTTAATTTTTAGCTTGGATTACTGCTATCTACCCAGCAGAATTTCTGCTCTCTTTTTCAGAAAAAAAATTCAAAATTCAAGCAAGGCCAATTACTGCAATTATGAAAATAAAATATGTAATTCAAGCCCTAGGATTTCATGGTAATGATAATTTCTGGTACTGTGCAGTCACCATGATTCAGAAATATCAGAACCGAAAAGCCATTTGCCATGGACATCTTCAGCTTTGCCAATTAAAATCAATTTGATAAAGGTTTTCTTCTGTTGTAATTCTCATGAAGTAGAGTAATTCTTTTGATTAGCACTCTGATTAAACCCGAAACTAAAATGTTGTTTGGAATCACCCATCCGACATGTTGTGTCCATCCTGAAGTGCATTGCATGGTATCTGCAATGCAGTCTGGGAGAGATTTAAGATGGTGGATGAATGGCTGATAAAGGGTGAATTAGCTAAAATATTATGGTTTTCATCCCAGCAATCATTTTATATGGTATCCACTGTGAAGAAGAAGAAGAAGTACAAAAGTTGACTCTGTATCATTAAAAAACAACTAGGAAGAGGTATTTTTGAACTGATTTTGAAACTGTTTCCCATTTTGGAGAAGATCAACTCGCTTATAAACTTAAACTAGCCAAGATTCATGCCACTGAGTACATGTAAGCTTATAAATATAGGGTTTATTTCATATTTCAGACTACTTTCGTTTTCTTTTATTTGTGTCCAAATCAAAAATTATCTGTTACTGATCGTTTCTCATAATCACTGGACACGGAACCGAAAAAGTGTTACCGATGAAAATAATTTGAAATACTAGGGCTTGTAATTTGTGAAATGGTCTAAATCCCACTTGTGATTTGTGATTTGAATCACAGGGAGTGATTTGACCTATTTCATTTATCACCCTGTACACAAGCAGACAGGATGACTCCTTAGGGTCCCTGATCACTTGTGCTTCAATTTGTATCATCAAGTTGTTCCATTCCTGGGGAACAGTCTTTAACCAACCAAAAAAACTTCCTTATAAACACACAGAGTTCAATTGAATGTGTGAAAAGCATGCAATTTTTTAAAGCAAACCTGAATGACTCAGCTGTTTTGTTTGCCAGTTACAATTTCCCAGAGTCCTGGGACCAAAAATGAAAGTTCTCGTCATAGCTGGAAACGGAAGAAGTTCAACCCACTACCTAAGCACCTGACTTCAAGTACCCCACTAAACTTTATCAAGTCTGGGGAATATGGGCATACTTTAAAACTAAGCAACCGTCTTTATAAATCACTTTAGTAATTGTCTACATTGTAATATTAAACACCTTTAAATGTATAATGCAATTTCTCACGGAAAGGATACGTGTAAAGTTC